TACAGGATGTGCTCAAACGCATGTGTTGATTGAATTAACGGAAAAGGTGCATACAGGTTTTTAGAGCTGTCTGTAAGGTTGGTAACATCTTTAGAAGATAGTATTCTTCTTCTTGTTCAAGAATGGGGAGACTGACGTGCAGAGAAATGCTGTTACCTGGGAGTGATGGCTGAACTGATATTAGTACATGCTTACATCACTGGACCTCAGATCTCTACACAGCGATGCTCTGTGGAGTGTCAGGGCCTCAGTTTCCCATCTGTCCAAGGATTGGAGTGATTAAACGGTGGTTTGGAAGATTATTTCAGTGCACGTGCTGTACGCAGCACTGTGGATGGCAGCATGAATGAGATATCCCTAGCCTCCATGTTAAATTCTGGGTCCTCTCCCTTGCTGGGACCCCCTCCTCCCCAAATCACAGGGAAAGTTAAAAGCATTGTGTTCCAACCAGGCTACTATGCCCAGCACTGAGGGTCTGGGAGCATGTGGGAGGATTTTTCTGGGGGGAGCCACAGGGAAACTGACTTGAGCAGACATGCTATTCTGGGGGTAAAGCGAGTCCTTGGAAAACCCCACCCTGTCCCAGGCTGTTCCTTTTTTTTTTTTTTTTTTTAATTTTTTTTTTAACGTTTATTTGTTATTGAAAGACAGAGAGAGTCAGAGTGTGAGCAGGGGAGGGGCAGAGGGAGAGGGAGACACACAATCTGAAGCAGGCTCCAGGCTCTGAGATGTCAGCACAGAGTCCCGCGCGGGGCTTGAACTCACAAACCGAGGGATCATGACCCGAGCCAAAGTCAGAGGCTTAACTGAGCCACCCAGGTGCCCCTAGGCTGGTCCTTTTGATTGAAGGGTGGTATCTGAGATGGGATTGGGGAAAAGGCTTCCTCTGATAAAAGCGGGTGTAGGAGCTGTTCCTGGAGTTGGGTGAGAGCATTAATCGGCCAGAGAAATGCTGCCTGAGATCCTGGATGTTCAGACTCAGGCAGAGGAGCTGGCTTGGTGACACAGGGAGTTTCCTTGTGTCTCTGTCTTCACACGGCCATCTTATTAGGGCACCAGTCATTTGTTGTAGGTCCTACCCTAATCCAGTATGATCTCACGTTAACTTCATTACATCTGCAAAGACCCTGTTTCCAAATCAGGTTACATTCACAGGTTAGGATTTCAACATATGTTTTGGGGGGACACAATTCAGCCTGCAACAAGGCTCAATGAAGAAAGAACATTCTGGCCAGAGGGGAACGGCAATAGCAGATTACCCTCCTAGTGCCCACTGCTTTCTGGGGTCGTATCTCCAGCCTCTCTCAGGTCCTGATACCTGGCAACTGCTTAAATGGAGCCAGGAGCAAGCTGGTCTTCTGGACATCAAGTCTTCTCAGGCCTCGCCTTCTAGCAGACTCTCCACAGCCTGCCTGTCCCTCCTCTTTCTGCCTGCCTGGTCCCCACCCCCACCCACATCCCACATGCGAGATGGACAAGGACAATAAAAGCTGTTTCACAAGCAGGCGGTGATTAATCGCCAAGTTAATTAAAGAGGCAGTAATTACACTCCGATTTCAGAGGAAGGAGCGATGTCTTGGGCAGGGATGGGTGGTCAGCCTCGGTCTCCCTGAAAAGGTGGGGCTGGAAGACAGAAAGGATTTGAAAAGACGGAAGAAAAAGCAAGTCACGTTTTTACAAAGTGGGTACTCCAACCATAGATGCAATGTTTTATTTGACAGAGTCGGGTGGCAGGCTTAGACGTTCTTTGAAATATTTCATTAGCAATAACAACAACAACATATCGCAGGGGGAGGTTAAGTTTGGGATGTATAAACAGCCTCGGATCCCAGTGTGGCCACTTCACCCAATGGAGAGGGCCTTAAGATTATGTGTAAATCAAATCCCGTTTGCCCACCGAACATCTTAACGTCGGCAATGCTCGATCTTCATTTCTGATTGATTTTCCCCGGCAGAGGCACAGAATTCTTGGCTTTAAGTGTCAGACTCTCTCTGTCAAGTAGTTAATGACCTATAAAGCACTTAAAATGTACTGGAGGAGATGCTATTTGGAGGCACCCCGTGGTGTACCCTCTTCTATTGTCGGTAATCACCCCTCATTTATTTGCTCTTATTGGCTTAGGATTTGCTATCAGGTTTGCCTAAAGTGAAGCCCACCGGGAAAGGTCCAATTCCATATGGGCCCGGATGGGTGCTGGGGTTGGTGTCCCGAGGCAGCAGCAACAGATGAGGGAAAGGGCCTTTTCTTAAGAGTCCTTGACCATGGGTACACTTGTCATCTCCTGGCACATCTTCCCTAACTACCTCATTCCTCCCACAGCTCCAGCCACCAGAGCCTTCCCGGTTTCTCCTCACCATGGGTCTGCTGCCTCAACCTGTCTCCTGAGTCCTGATCCATTCTCTTGGCTGCCTTCAGGACGCCTCCTCTTGGTTGTCACCTGGATTTCTCCCCAAGTTGGCGCTGCACTCTGGTACTTCTGGTTGTGTTTACCGAACCAGCCTCTGTCCACTGGATGGGGCATGGACATCTGAGACCAGTAGATCACCAGGTCTTGTCGGCCTCTCCCTTCCAAAGTGGCTCTGGAGTCTGGTCCCCTGCCCTAGCCCACACCCCCTCGGCCTCAGTCCCAGTTCCAAACTTTTGCCGATCTCAGCAGCCTCCAAATGAAACAGGCCGGCCTCCCCAGAGACATTCACTCAAGTTGCCTCCTAAAGAACAGTGTAGGGGGTTTTGCTCTCCTGCTCCCCGACTTCTGTGTGCCCCTCAGGCCTCAGTCTGGTACCCAAGGCCCTTCACAACCTGGGATTGGTGTCATCTCCCCAGCCTCCCTCAAACACCTCACACATCCTTCCACCTTCAGGCCTTAGCTCATGATATTCTCTGTGTGGAATGCCTTCATCTTTTAAAGTCCCCTCTTTCAGGAAGCCTTCCTTGGTTAGCTCACGCTTGGTTTACTCTCCTTGAGGCTCCCACAGCCCTCCCACAATGTGTTTTCCTTGGGTTTCTGTGTCTTCCTGTCTTTCAGGAACACTTTATTGACTGTCACACATTCAGGGGCATTTCTTGAGTGTCCACTGAGAGGAGAGTTATTAGTAGCAACAGTAAGAATCAGCCAGGTCCAAGTTCAAACCTGGCTTTGCCTCTTGCCTGCTGAGTGACCTTGGGCACCTGCTGCCCCTCTCTGAGTCTCACTTTTCTCCTCTGCCATGCCCCAGAGCTGCCTACCCTTGGGCAACTGAAGGATGATGCCAGCCTGGCAATGTCAATGCCAGGAGTGAGGGAAGAGGTCAAGGTTGGGGTTAGCACAGCGGCTGTGGCAGCGGCGACCTCCAGGGTCAGAGCTGTGAGAGGCAACCACGAGGAGCACAGGGTGAGCCACCTGACCAGGGGGACTGGAAGGCTGAATAGACCTTTCCAGTAGGGAAAGTGTACTAATTTTCTTTTCTTTTTT